CCAAAATCAGTCCTGAGGATCCGGCGTTCTCCAGAAAGAGGCTTTTGAGATACAGGAAACACTGGAGAGATAGGGTCAATGAGACAAGGAATCATTCAAATGTAGGCAGAGAGACACATTGTACCAGCAGTTTTTTTGGAAATCTATTGGATATGATGCCTATAACTGTCCTATTAGGCTGCTGGAAACCCAACGTTAAATTGACCCTCTAGGCATCTCCTTGCAAATCTCTTAACCACAGGTACGATTTTAATGGCTTCACTCTCCAAATAAGGACATTTTCCAGCAATTGAGATATTAAAAATAATTGGAGCACTATATTAATGCATAAGGTGACTTGTTTCAAACCTCTCTGGGGTGGGAAAAGTAAATTAAAAGAAGCCTCGCTGAGACAATGGAGCCCATTCATTCAGTACTGGAACAGGGTGATGCAACATGAAAGCATTCATTAGAAATTATTGGCTTTAGAAGCTTATTATGAAGAGGACCAACACAAATTTGGAGTGCTTTTCCACATGTACCAGTCACTCCATCTTACTCCCCCTTCCTTGTGGTTTTCTGACTTCACCCCATTGCACGGATTCGAACTGCCAACCTTCTTATTGGCAAGCCCAAGAGGCTCAGTGGTTTAGACCACAGAGCCACCTGCGTTCCACATTCTATGGTATGATGTCAATAGGCAGGGAGTTCCAGAGTGTAGGTGCTGCCATGCTATAAGATTGATTTATTACATGGTAGAAGAGGAAATTATGTGGCATATGTAAGAGTCATCTTGCCAGCCCATCTTGCAGGTAAACAGTTCTCAAGTTATTAAGTGCTTTATATACTAACAAAAAAGTAAAGGTAAAGGACCCCTGGGCGGTTACGTCCAGTCAAAGGTGACTCATCTCACTTTCCAGCCGGGGGAGCCAGCGTTTGTCTACAGACAGCTTTCCAGGTCATGTGGCCAGCATGACTAAACCGCTTCTGGTGCAACGGGACACCGTGACGGAAACCAGAGTGCACGGGAATGCTGTTTACCTTCCCGCTGCAGTGGTATCTATTTATCTACTTGCACTGGCATGCTTTCGAACTGCTAGGTTGGCAGGAGCTGGGACAGAGCAATGGGAGCTCACTCTGTTGCGGGGATTTGAACTGCTGACCTTCCGATCGGCACACCCAAGAGGCTCAGTGGTTTAGACCACAACGCCACCCGCGTCCCGATATATATATATCACCTTGAACCTGTATCAGCAGCAAATCAGCAACCAGGGTAAGTGTCTGAGCACAGCTACTATATGCTGACATGGTCTGATTCCCCAGGTGTGTGATCCTCCATCACTGCTCTACCCCTGTGTGTGTACCCAGTGGGAGCAAGGTGGGCACAATGCTTGATGTTTTAGACAGGTCTCCCTGAGAGTCAGCAGTAATGTGAAGTGAAGAAGGTGGAGCTGACCTGTGGCACAAATCCCGCATCTCACGCCTCTGTTGCATCCTTCCCTCTGTATTGTATTTTAAGGATTGGCAATTGCGTGGTAACTCTTATCGCTTGTATACGCTTATGATACGGTTTGCCGGAAAAGGCAGGTTTGCCAGATCTCTCCCCCAGATTTATCTATTTGCCTTCGCAGTCACGTTGGCAATGGTGGGAATTTGCGTGATTTGTTTAAATTAAATGAGTCTGGGTTCTCCTGAGTACACATATTAAGCGACTGAAATTTGTTTTCAGCTGGCTTCTGGACAACATGCATGTCTGCACAAACACAATAGGCCCAGCTGGGAATTTTACTACGATTCGCGCTTAGAGCTACTGTGTAATAGAGACTATTTATATAGTGGCATCGGTGTTATCGGCACAGCACGATGCGTGGGGAGCACATGCAAACCAAACCCAAGAGTTCTCCGCCCCCAAGGGCTCACTAACCTGGCAATGGAACACTATGTAAGTTCAATTAATCGAAGGTCCTGCTGTTTTCAGTGGAGACTGCTCCCCTTAGAGCAAATGGGGCACTGCCCCACTAACCTCAGTCTAGATTCCAGCAGCCCCACTTGCTTTTGTACAATCAGAGCGGGGTCCTGGCTCTCAGCTTCTTCCTCCTCAGTCTTGGTGTTGCCCTTGTTGAACTCACCACAGAGGAGGAGGATGGGGAGATAACTAGAATTAGTGGGTTCTGCCTGTCATTGGCTCTGGCTCCACCTAGTGTTGGACTCCCTACTTTCTGCCCTACCAGACCCCATAGGTAGCAGCCACCCCTGCAGGCGAGTAAGCACAAGACTGAACTTCGGAATGGCCAGGAACGAAAACCATGAAGAGATCAGGGCGGAGAGAGAAGAGATTGGAGGGTGTATTTGGAGAAATGCTGTTATGCAAACTTACGCTTCACTTTGGGATCCAGCTAGATGTGGCATCTTGGTGACTTAAGGGGGAAATTGTATGTGTGCATCTATTTCAGGGGTCCGGTCCCCAAGTTTGCGGGTTGGCCAGGGGCCCACCTGGAAATCAAAGTGCTGTAACTGTACTTTGTTTTTTGTTTTGTTTTCTATATATAATTTTTATTAAATTTTCTGTTTTACAGTTTAGAATATTCATTTATACAACCTTAAAATGTCAGTGATACCCTTCTTCTCTTTCCGTTGTTCATTTTACACAGCATAAATCCCTGCATATTTTATTCTGTTTTTAATATTCTGTTGGGAGCTGCCCAGAGCGGCTGGGGAAACCCAGCCAGATGGGTGGGGTAATAATAATAATAATAATAATTTATTGCTATTATTATCTAAACTAAACCATTCAGTAATCCATTATTACTTCCATCAAAACTTATTTACACTGTTGAATTTATCTTAATGCTGCCAACATTTTCAAGTGTACACAATTTCCCACCATATATTCAATAAACATTTTCCAATCTTCTTTAAATGAATGTTCTTCTTGTTCTCTTATTCTGTAAGTTAGATCTGCAAGCTGTGCATATTCCATCAGTTTAAGTTGCCATTCTTCTTTGGTTGAGACCTCGCTCATTTCCCATTTTTGGGTTAACGAAACACAGACCGCAGTGTGGCATGCATAAATAACCTTTTTTTTTACACCTGGGCATTTCCATCTGAATTATCCACCCCCCCCCCCAAGGACCTAACAGTCCTTTCTTAATGGGTGCCAGAAAATGCCCATCTTCACAGAAGAAAATTTCTCAGGGCTCAGACCTCCCCCTGGTTCCAGGAAACAGGCAAGATACCTAAACACAACTTTAAACATAGACAAGAAAGCAGGCCGATTCCCACCAACTCCCAAAAGCCAGAAAAGAAAAAGAAAAAACTTTTAAGAGAGTGGACAGAGGGTTTCGATGGACATCTAGCGCTGTATCCATTGAAATGAATGGACCCTAGTTAGTCACATCCAGGGCTTTTTTTCAGCTGGAACATGCCAGAACTCAGTTCCGGCACCTCTCAGGTGGGCACCATTGCCGTTCTAAGAGAATGAGATTCATGGAATGTTCCGGCACCTCTTTTTCTGGAAAAATAGCACTGGTCACATTCATTGTAGGATTAGCATTGAGTAGGGCTACCTTTGTCCAGGGAAACTGCTTGACCCACAGGTGCCATATTGGGGACCTCAGATCAATTTATCCATTTATCTATGCACCAAAAATCTGAAAATCCAGTTCATGTTCTTTCCCCTCTCTGTTTCTCTCAGGGAGCAGGAACCTGTCTGCTGCAGTTGCCATCCTGTTCGCATCACCTCTTGCCAGCTGCCGCCTCTCCGCCTCCCCCCCCCCCACAAAAAAAGCAGCTCTGCTTGTCTGGTTAGTCATCCCTTTCCCTTCATCGTTTCGCTAAGGTTCATTGGAGCTGCATTGAGCTAGTAAGCTCTGGCTAGATAATGAAAATAAAAGGAGCAACACAAGATAGGGCTCCATTGTGGAGGGGAGGGACTTCAAAAGGCAGGCTGCTGTGTGTGTGGCATGCTGAGCCAGCTAGAAAATATATCACTGCCTCTCCTTTCAGCAGATCAGCTTTTTCAAGAAGCTGCTCTCTTTCCTTTGCATGTGTTGGCCATGTCCCCTTTATTTGTGTGGGCTAGTCACCTTGAGGACTAGTGCAATGACCTTTTTAAAAGACAGACAGACAGACAGACAGACAGACAGGGTGCACAATGAAATAATAATAATAATATTATAATAATTTATTATTTATACTCTGCCCATCTGGCTGGGTTTCGCCAGCCACTCTGGGCGGCTCCCAACAGAATATTGAAATCATGATAAAACATTAAACATTAAAAACTTCCCTAAACAGGGCTGCCTTCAGATGTCTTCTAAAAGTCAGATAGTTGTTTATTTCCTTGACATCTGATGGGAGGATGTTCCACAGGGCAGGCGCCACCACCTAGAAGGCCCTCTGCCTGGTTCCCTGTAACCTCACTTCTCGCAGTGAGGGAACCGCCGGAAAGCCCTCGGTGCTGGACCTCAGTGTCTGGGCTGAACGATGGTGGTGGAGACGCTCCTTCAGGTATACTGGGCCGAGGCCGTTTAGGGCTTTAAAGGTCAGCACCAACACTTTGAATTATGCTCGGAAATGTCCTGGGAGCCCATGTAAGGTCTTTCAGGACTGGTGTGTTGAAAGCACACTGAAGTTGGTGGAGCATTGCCCCATTCACTCTAATGGATCATCCTCCATTGCTGAGACAGAGTCTTCCATTTCTAGGTCAGCACTTCACAGTCTTCCCGCTGAGGCAAGAACTAGTGTTGTGTATTGGTTAGTGGGCTGAACTAGAACCTAGGGTGCCAGGGTTCGAATCTCCACTCAGCCATGAAGCTCAATGCTGTTCCACACGATGCCTTTAGTGTGGTGGCACCTGTTCTTTGGAACAAACTCCTGTGACTTATCAGACTGGTGTTGTCTTGATTGTCTTGTTGCCTGCTGAAGACTTTCTTCCTCCAGAAAGCCTTCTAAATGGAGATTTCTTTTATGACAGTCAGTATCTTTATGGAATCTGAAACTGTTTCGTATATGCAACTCCCTTCACCAGTGTGGCGCAATGGTTAGTGTGTTGGACTCTGACCTGGGAGACCGGGGTTCGAATCCCCACTCAGCTGTGAAGCTCACTGGGTGACCTTGGGCCAGTCACCATCTCTCAGCCTCACAAGGTTGTTGGGAGAATGAAGAGAACCATGGAGAACTTGAGCTGCTTGGAGGAAAATACATGTAATAGATAATACACAGCTATTTTTATATGTGCAACTGTTTTTAATACGCAGTTGTTTAAACTGATTTTCATACATGTGCTTCTTTAGATATACTTTTATCGAGTTCAGAAATCGCTTCAAGAAGCTTCATAGGAAGTGATTCTGAAATGGAATGACACCTAAAAGGGTTTGTGGGAAGCTCTGCTTTCAGAGGACCACGTTGCCTGCACCCTGTCCCCTGTCCGGGGTCCTGAAATACCTGTTCCAGCTCCCCTTTGTTACTGGATCCCTGGTTTAGGACTGAACCCTGCCTGCCTGCCTTCCCTCTATCTCTCCACACTGGACTGTTGGGCTGGAACTGCATTCCCCAAACGTGTAAGCAGAGGCAACTGACTAGTGAAGGCCCAGTTCCCAGCTGTGCAGAGAGAGACCCTCTCGGACGTACCCTTGTACATATGGAGGGTCTCTTCTGACACTCAAGCGAATGCATGCAGGGATGTGGGAGGTCACTAACTAATGGTCACTAACTTATTCAGACAGCTCTGGTCTGAGTGAGTCCTGCATATATCAGCACACTTGCTTTTGTTTTGGCCATTTGTGAAATGTTGGATTTTAAACCTTGCTAATTATATGGCATCTGAGGGAAAAATGCATAAACTATAAGTTGGTATCTCTGTCTGTATTGAATCTGAAAGGGTGTGTGTGTGTGTGTGAGAGAGAGAGAGAGAGAGAGAGAGAGATTTAAATTGCCATATATAATGTTTTACCTGTTTTTAATATGCATATGTTTGGTATGCCTCATGGGAAGCAATTCATGAATAAAATATAATGATGATGATGAAGAAGAAAATATAATAATAATAATAATAATAATAATAATAATAATAATAATTTATTTATACGCTGCCCATCTGGCTGGGTTTCCCCAGCCACTCTGGACAGCCCCAAGCAAAATATTACAATAAAATACAATAAAAGATTATGGTAAAGATGAATAAATAAAACGGTTAACCCCCTTGCAATACTATTTATTTGCAGCATTTTATAGGCATGGGCAAGTAAAGCTATTTTTTAAAATATAAAGTTAAATGCATTATTGTATGCATTTGCTTAAGTGCTGGTTATTTGAGGAAACTGGGGGTGTTTGTAATACGATATGTCTTATAATGCATATGAGTTTGTACTTTCAGTGGCACTGGTAAAAGAATAAAGAATTGGAAAAACTTGCATCAATATCAAGGAGCAAGACATGAATTAGTGGGGTGGAATCCATGCGGGTAAGCATGACCACAATATTTTCAGAAAAAAACCATCCCTAAATGCATGGAGATCAAGAGTGGAGCCTAATATTCCTATGCTGTTTTACATGATCTTCCTTCTGCACTGATCAAAGTGTACAGAGGGGTTGTTTCGAGTCTAACCTCCAAGCCCTCTGAAAACTAGGGAATTCCTGAGGTCATTTAGTCACCTTGTATCAGGCGGAGAGATACTTGGGAGCATGGAAAACTGCCTTATGTCTGATCAAACCATTAGTTCATCTACCCTGGTATTGCCCATTCTGACTGGTTGTGAGTCTCCAGAGCCTCAGGCAGGGGTTCTGTACCCCCTGGCACTCAACTACAATTCCCAGGAATTGAGCCTGGCACCGTCTGCATGCAAAGAATGTGCAGTGCCACTCAGGAAGTGGCGAGAGAGATTTAAGCAACTTCTCCCAGAAGCTGCTAGCTCCTGTGAACTCTTCTTTCTTCTGCCTTACAAAGGTAGGGGGTCTTGCCATCGTGCAGAGATGCCCCTAGGCATTCATTTCCCCACATACCCCAGATCAGGAGTGACCACCATTTTCCAAAACAGTTTGTGAACCAGAACTTAGCTATCCTTCAATAATCACACTCGGGCAAATTTTGTGGTGCCGTCCAAATCATGTGTATGAAAACGCTTCTATTGCGGAGGATAATGTGTAAACAAAATGCCTATATTTGGTGAAAGTGTGCGTTAGAATGTCTTATGTTAGTGAAAGTGCGTCCTCCCTAAAAAAGGGCATGTGTTGTGGTGAGACCTGGAGACTGACCTTCTTGTTGTGGGTGGGTATATTGGACAGTCACAACACCCGACTGGTAGGTCCCTCATTGCTGGGTTTAATCTGGCCAATGGGGTGCTGTCTCAACGGCTCAAGGGACCTATAAATACCCATGCATGTGACCCAGAGCTTCCTCTTTTGGCTCGTGCATCGGGACACCCGCCCACCTCTCCCTATATTTAGGGCATTTTGCAATTGACCTTGCTATGCCGTCGTGTCGTTTGTCATTGGGACAGGGGCACGGCAGGGATTTTCCCCACCAGGCTGATTGGCTGTTGCCATTTGGGTTTCGCCTGCCATGTAGCAAATTGTCACAACTTTGTGGATAGGCACTGGTTCAGGTGATAGGGATGGGGGAACAGTCTTGCCATCCCTATGTGAAGGGTATTCCGTTAAAGGAATGCAGGGACTCAACTTGGTTTGGTCAACCCCCAAGAGGGGGTTGTGCCCATGCCTGAGTCCAGGGGAGCATCTGGGGAGTGGACATAGCCTGTAACCAGGCTTTCTACCTACCACAGGTGTTCACCCTTGGCTGACCTATGATAGAGCTCTGAGTCAGCGCTACCTGCAAGGGTGCAGGGAGCTAGTCGAATCAGAGCCTATGCAACCACTCACTTTCTGTAATCAATAAAGTTGTGGCCTAAATTCTGCCAAAAAACAAAAAATTTTTTGAGTCAAATGTGTTTTTATTTAGGGGGGAGGTCTCTGGGTCTGAACACGCAAAATAACAAATAAAAACAGCATTATATCAGGAGAAATTGCTGGGCTGTGTATGGGTCTACCTTCAATCAGATTTGGGGCCTGATCTGGTACTTCTGATCTAATCCTGACCCTGTTCTGGGCCTGATTTGGGATCCTTGCACATCTAAAACCCCAATAAAACAAGCAGCCAGATTTTGTGGAGGAGGAGGCATACACCTTCTTCTCCCCCTGACTGGATCTTGAATCAGGGTTTAATTAAAGATGCAGTTAATGGGGGGAGGGAGGGTAAGAAAGAGATCCACAAAGGCTACTCCTGCTGCCCTCCTTTTCTCGCTGCCAGACTACCACCCCTTTTCACAGATTCGAGTTAGTCCAGATGGACCCATTCTAACTTGTGGCAATCCTGGGTTGCCTCAACCTGATTCGGCTAAATCCTGGGTCAACTTGAACCTGCCTGAATCAGTGTGTTATCCGGGATTCTGCCAAATCTGGTGTGTTCTAGGGAAATTCAGACTGAAATGCTGATGAATTTTAAGAAGGGCTTGCTGTAGACCTGAACTTAAGAGAGAAATCAAAACTGACAGTCACCCATCTTGACCCCACATACAGTCATTGTACCCCGATGAAATTCTGTAGATAATGGCCCTTGTGGTCTCTTCCAACTCTATAAGTATCAGGCAACTTGTCCCCCAGGGCTCCTTTGGGAGGGAGGAAGGGATATAAATTTAATTATTAACTATGACAAATTCCAGCTGTTGTCCAACCTCAGAGACTTACCTTTCTCCACCCGTGAGGTCTGTGGACACACCAGAGGACTTAAGGAAGGAGTTGGGAGGTCAACAATGGTCACAACGCCTGCCAAAGTTTCCAGGAGCCTTCCCACAAAGTTCTTTTTAAAGCTTCAAACCTATGCTTCCTGCGCCCCCTTCCATCGGTCAACTCTTGGCTGATCTAGTTAAGGTTACCATGGAAATTATGACACAGAAGGAGATAGTGGTGGATTTTGTGCTTTGTTCTGGCTTCTTGGAGTGTACCGTAAGCTGCTCTGTCAACAGAGCTGTTCAGTGACCTTTGTTTTGTGTTAATTTTTGGTTTGGTTTCCCTCCACTCCTACCCTCCTCGAGAAAAAACATCTTGACTGAAGCAGTGATTCACTGGTTGGAAGCCAATCTTCCTGAGTCACGAGCTCAAGACAGGAAGGAAGGCATAAATCGGGAGCGTGGTGAGGTGAACAAACTCTTGACCACAGAACTCCTCCTTGCTTCCTTCCACAGCCTCCTTTTGTTCATTGTGCTTCTTGGCAACTTGCTGTGGGCGAAGATAAGGACACTGAAGACGGCAGAGGCCACCTGGTCTCCACTTCAGGGGCCGGGACAGTGAATGCAAGTGCACTGTCTCAAATCCCTTCATTTTAAATGGTTTCCATCTTTTCCTCTCTTCCTTTAATGGTGTTCGTTTGATAATTGAAGCTGTGTCGGCGATCCCCCTCCTCACAAAATGGGAAAGCATAGGTTGGAGGAGGCAGATGCTAGATTTGGGGTCCTGTAGAGAATTCAAAATGGCCACTCATAGTTGTGCTGCCACCACCAGGTAAGCCTGAGGTAGGGATGGGGCACGGGAATATGATTTAGTTCACATTTAAAGGAGAGCACCCCTAAGTCACACTTTCTGAATAATAATTATAGTAATAATATTGATTGATTGAATTTATATAACGCCCTATACCCAGGGGTCCAGGGCCGGATTTAGGTTTGATGAGGCCCTAAGCTACTGAAGGTAATGGGGCCCTTTATATATCCAGCTGTCCTTTGTCAACAACAAATTGTCGCTGGTTTTTGTGTTGAATATATGCTGTATGGTTATTTATGGACCTAATTGGTATCTAAAGCCATTTGCACATAACAAAATATGTATTTTATTAAAGTAATTGATGAGCAAGCCAGTGATATTTTAGGGAGCAAGCTAGCAGATGGGGCCTGTTACTTACATCTTAGGAGCCTGCACAACACAAAACACTGTTGCTGTATGTAGGTTTCATTTTATTTGTTTTTTATCTTATATTTTGGAAATGTACAACCAGTTTTTCCCCCTTTAAATTTTTTTGGGGCCCCCAAGAAAGTGGGGCCCTAAGCTATA